GGGGAGGGGCAGGGAGTGCGTGTGATCGGGGTGCTGACGTGGTGTTTGGGGGGGGGGGTGTCCATGGGTGTCAGGGTGGGCAGGCGGCCGCACCCGCACAGACCAGGGGGCCAAGAGCCCTTGTGAGGGCAGCCGACGCTGTGTTCCAGCAGCCGCCCGCGCCGGCGTTGGCACTCTGCGCGCCCCTCGCCGGCGGCCCCCGCCCCGCCCGCTGCGCCGCCGGCGCGCCACTTTCCACACCCCCAACCCAGACGCCGCCCGCCTCCGGCCGCGCCGGGCCCTGCGGCCGCGGGCCTCCTCGCCCCCACCCGACCGCCTGGAGTCGCCTGCCGCCTGTGGGTGCGGGGAAGCAGGGGCCAAGCAGGCCGGGACCGGCTGCCACGCACCTGACTGCGAGTCCGGCAGGGTGGCGTGGATGGTGGCCTTCAGGCCGGGCGCGAGGTTGTCGATGTTGGTGGTCACGTCGATCTTGTCGGTCGACGTCTTGAAGAGCGCGGTGAGGCCGTAGTTCTTGTAGCTGGGGGGGAAAGGGGGATGGGGGCGACGCGGCGGGCGCGCGGTCGTGCGGGTGGGGAGGCATGCGTGTGGGTTGGGGCAGAGATGGCAGCACGAGAGGGGTCCGAAAGGGCGGCTCTGGCGTTGCCTGCCGCGAGGTACTGTATTTCAAAGCTGCGGGGGCGAGTGATTTGATTTTCGGCTGGCGATGCATCACAGGTAGGAACCGCATCGCTGCGGGGCGCTTGTCCCGCGATCCGAGCTGGCGATCGTAGGGCGCAGTAAACGCCCGTGTGGCGGCGGCCTGGTGCCAAACAGCTGGCATCTGCGGGGCCTCCGGCCACCAGGTTTATCCTCACGTGGCCTTTTACTGCCCACGGGAGCGCGTCATGGCCGTTGCACCGGAACGATGGATCTGCAAACGCCATTGACGCGGCCAGATCCCCTGCCAGCCCCCAGCGCATCTCGACCCACTTGTAAGAGCTCTTGAGGCTCAGATCCGCCTTCTCGCCCTTGTTGATAGCCGATAGGGCCAACGACACGCCGTCGGCGGTCTTGGTGCTCAACGCAAGCTTTTGGTCGAACTGGTAAAGGCCCTCGCGCCCGCCGAGCAGCACCTCACGGGCATTCTTGCCAATCTCAGAGTAACTTGCCACCATATTTGCTGCCTGTGCGGGTCCTAGCCGGCTGTGGGCTCGTTGAAGACACGCTGATCTGGCGGAGGAGGCCTGATCCGGGCTGTCAACTCCAATGAGGTTGCAATGGGCGCCCTACCACGTTTGTTAGCGTGCAGATGGATGTGGTCGGGCACCAGATTTTTCGCAGTTGGCTGGCGGCGTCATGTGCTACTGCTTCGGTGACGCCAGTGGAACCAACCAGGACACACCACGGTCAAGCCACGCTGAGTCAGGCCATCCCACCCAAACGATCCTCATTGATTGCTGCCAGCCTCTGATTGCACTTGACAGTGGTGCAGCTGCTGTGCTGCTGCCGGCCATGCGCACCCGAGGTTCATGCCACCTCAACACCCTGACAGCTGCTCGGCACTGGCGGAGAGCGCCCTTCGACCCGCCTGCCCCCGCCTGCCCGGAGGGCCGGCGCGCTGCCCCTCAAGCCCCGCCGCCGCGGCCTCCACTCCTCCCCACCAACAGGTGCCCCAGGGCTGCCGCTGTGGGATCTCAGCACAGTGCCAGCGCGGCGGCAGCCTCGGCTGAGTCATTCTCCTGCTCCTCTCACCTTACTCGCCTCAGGGAGCCACCAGATCAGGTATGCACGGAGCGCTCAAAAGGCCGCGCGTTTTACTCAGGTCGGGCGCAAGGCGGCACGAGCAGGGCCCTGCAGGCCAAAGCCTCGCTCTGCAATTCAAAAGCAACCAAGACATCGCTCTACACTTCAAAGCAATGGATGACGCCTGCTGGATTACGAATGTTGAGTTGCCGCCACAGGGGCCTGCACTCGCACCATCCCCCGCAGCTGGTGGCGCGGGAGCAATCAACGCATGCAGTGCACACCGCCTGGCGCACCGAAACGAGCGCGCACGCGAAAGGCGCCGCCCCGGGGCGGCGAGGCGGCAGTGCCGGAGGCGAGCTTGCCTCAAGAGGCGCGAGCTGCTGGGGTAGGCAGGCTGGCAGGCTGCATGCAAATCTAGGGTGCTGTTTGAAACACGTCCCACAAGGCAGCGCGGCTTCCATGCAGCGCGGTTGAGCCCCTCACACTTAGCATCGCCACGAAACGAACCACAACGACAGGATTCTGCAACACCGGCAGGAACGGTGCACGCACTTCGCACATACTCCAACGCTCATCAGTGGGACTGGGTTGCGGAACCGCTGGCTACTCACTAAGCGCACACGCCTGCATCTCATCAACACGCTCCGCTGCCCACATCACATCTCCATCGGCGCCGCGGCGCCGCCGCCCGTGCTGCCGGCCGAGCGCAGCAGCTCCGCCTCTGAAAAGACCCCGCGCACAAACCCTCCGCTGCCCCCGCCGCCGCCGCGCCCGCTGCCGCCCCGCCCGCTGCCACCGCCCCGCCCGCCGCGCCGCCCGCCGCCGCCGATCCCCATCCCCTGGAAACCCGCCGCCACGTCAGCGCCGTAGTTGTAACCGCCGCCGCCGCTGTGGGCCGAGTCGTCCCCCGCCGCCGACGACGCCCGCCGCGGCTCGCTGAACGGGCCGGTCACGGAGTCAGTCGACTCCCCGTCATCGCTGTCGCCGCCGCCGCGGTTGCACGTGGTCAGGCTGTCCGCGGGCGACGCCTGCCTGCGCGGCTGCCAGTACGGCCCCTGCCGCTGCTGCCCCTGCCCCTGCCCCTGCTGCTGCTGCTGCTGCCCGGCCTGGCCGTAGCCACCGCCGCCCTGCTGTTGCTGGGCGGCGCCGAATCGCACCACGGGCACAGGCCCCTGCCCGTGCGCCCCCTGGCCGCCTGGCGCCGCCGGCTGGCCGCGAGCAGCGTACGCGCTGAACGGGCCGCCTGCCGGCGGCGGCGCCGCGTGCGCGGGGGAGCCGCCGAACCGCGGCCGCGGCGCGGGCGGCGGCATCGCGGCGCCCGCGGGTGAGGCGCTGCCGCCCGCCGGGCTGCCCCAGTCGCTGGGCGCCGTCCAGCTGTCGCCGCAGCCCTCAGAGGAGTCCACAAACGGCTCCGCCGCGCCGCCCCTCCCGCCC